TTTGTATACTGGTTAAGCTGTGGCCGCTATCGCTGTAAAAAGGTAGACACCTCCAGACTAGGTCTTTATCTAGTTGTCTCGTTTCCAGCCTGTACCTAGACTCTGTAAAATTACTGGAGTCGGAAACAGTTTTCTCTGACTCTACAGAAATAATGAATACCTACGAAATACCATATATTACTCTAGGAAGAGGTAAGGAGAATTCTCTAGTTGATTGTATTATGATGGTATACCTACTAATGATTTATTTTTAAAGAAGATGGCGAGTTTTCGTGACTGTGAGTTTAGTAGGTAGATATATCAATAAGGCATAGATTTAAATGCACTTCATCAGAAAATTGAAACACCTTACAGGTTTACGTTTTGTATGGATTATTAATGTCGCCTAATAGTGAGTTTTATGAGGTTTTCAAATTGTAATGTAGTTAGTGAGTTTTCATATTGTTCTAAATTCAAATTAAATTTCTCTCACGCTCGAATTTGCGTCTTTAGTTTTTCCCAGAGATGTTCAATTGGGTAGTTTCAACAAGTCAAATTCAATATTTTTATTAAAAAACGTTAATTTTCTGAGAATTTTATACGAAGAGCACGTTGTGACGTCATAATATTTTAACGTCAAATAGTTAGGTACTTATTACTCCTAAATTAACAATAACAAATACGAATATGAAGTTTGGTTGTTTTAGATTGTTTTTCAGCATTTTAAGGCGAGGTGGGCCCAAATTTACGTTTTTTAAAACAATCTGAGACAAAAACTACAGTTTTTTAAATTACAAAAAAAATATATGTTTTAGTTAAGGATCTTATCTAGTCAAAATCGCATTCAGTTGAAAGACCTGATAAACTTCACTCGATAGAAAAAAATCGCAAAGTTACCCCTTTTTAAAACGTTTTTTCAATATTACGACTATATTACTGATTATTTACGTTTAATTTTTGTACTATAATAAAGAAAGTTATTAGTTACAGACAAATTCGCAGAGTTAAAATTGATAAAATGACTATGTTTCATTAAGTTTTAAAAGCGGTCGCGGCGGCTCAGATGTGTCCGATTAGTCGCGTGCTGGCGCTTGTCGACGACGGACCTGTGTCAGTTTGTTCAGCGACAACTACACGCACCAAATCATCATTTTTGAGAATTTATTGCTTTGCAGTTATAAATCATAATGCGTAATAAAAAACGCAGGCGAAAAAAGTCGCGCAAAGTGATAAAAGACACAGAAAGAATGCACTCCAAAGATATGTAAGAAGTACTAATTTACGTAAACATTTTATTTTTATTGCAATGAAATTTGTTCGCAAAATTAAATTTTATTTTATTTAGCCTCTGATTGGTAAATGCAAAATTTATGATTATTCTAGTATAGTTTATAAATATATTAGTACCGATGATCGCTAGAATTTTGCATAATTAAATTTAATTCATATTTTGTCTTTTCGTTCGGTATCCTGCCTGTCGAATGGTAAGCCACTGCACAAAAATATCAGAACTAGAAACTTCTGTAAAAAACTACGTAATCTGATTACAGACACAAAGTATGTGTATAATGTGTTAAGTGCATCGTAAAATGCACATTATTAAAATGTAAAAATTTTGACTATGCGGAAATCGATAGTACAATGTCACTTCACAAAACCTCTGAAGGTCCTCGCAATGTAGCAATATCTAATCTTCATACGGATATTATCATCTGTGTAGCTCATGCTTTTAGCGACCATAGAATGTGCCAAAAATATTATTGCAATAAATATAGAAATGACAACGAAGAACTTAAAAAGAGCCAGAATTCCACTTACATTGTCTGAATAAACGCGATTGTTTCAAGTTTTGCTGCAAAATCACGCAGCTTAATCGAAGACGTTTACACAAACTTGTTGACTGTTTTAATAGTGTCATCGTTAAATTCATTTGTGGAAAACGAATAATTTCATTAAAAGGAGGTTATCAAGGAAGGTGTTCAGCACCTGTTCTTTCGTTTAACAGCCAATCGGGGCTTTCAGCCGTCCAAACAGCTTTTTTAAACAAAAGTCCTAAAGGCAGGGCCAAAATCATTGAAAGACGGACAGCTCAGAAACGAAACCTAAACTTCGGGCATCCCGTAAAAAAAAGTACGGAAATTAAAAGACGGCAATCAAAAGCAACATGACATTAGCGAGCACAGCACCAAATATGTCTCCACATGAACTGAAGAAAGCTGAAGTAGAGTTCTTAAATAATTTAAGAATGCTTACTTCCGATAGCCAGGCTATCGAAAGGGCTACAGTTTTGCAACGAGATAGCAGTGAATGGTTGGAAATACGGAAAAACCTAATCACCGAATCAAATTTTGGGCAAATTTGTAAAAGAAAAATTAGCATATAGCATACTGCTCTTTTGGTAAAAAACATATTAGGTATACAAAATTATATTTGACATGTGTAACTGCTGTTGCACACGGAATAGAGCACGAAAGGCAAGCACGTCAACAGCTTGAAAAACAGGAAAATATAAGTATTTTGCCTTGCGGTTTGTTCATAGACAGGACTTATCCATTTATTAGAGGCACTCCTGACGGATTAGTAGGCGATGATACGCTCATTGAAATTAAGTGTCCTTTAACTGCTGTAAAAAAGGTTCTACCAGTGCAGTACAGCATAACAAGCTAAAATTTTAAAATACGACAAAAATACTTGCACGTCCACAGTAAATAAAAAAATAAATTGTTTTATCAAATACAAGGACAAGGAGCTTCACGTTACTGAAAGACGATTTTGTCTGCTCGGCATCTAGAGTGGAGAAAATGAACCCATGCATACAGAACGTATCGAAAGGGACGGAATTTTAAGATGTTTAATGTAGTACATGAATAATAATTTAGACACATTTATTATTATGGTTGTATAAAAAAATATAAGAGTTTTGAATGATTTAAATACATTCCATTTAAATACCGAGTAGATTTTTTGTTTTTCGTATTTCTTGTACAAAAACAATTGATAATAAATAATTATTGTTAACAAAAATATTCCGACTTCAAAAAGTAAACTAAAAAGAATAGAAAATAATATTAGTAACCATTTTATAATCTTGAAGTCGGTGCCAAGTAAAACAAAAATAGTGTAAAGATTACCTATAACACACATCAAGAATACCTATACCATTGTTAGTTTGATGAATAGGAGTTACCAATCAATATATTTTTCTAAAACTGTTGTTGTTTTGGTATGACTTCGATGATTTACTTGGCACCGACTTCAAGATTATAAAATGGTTATTAATATTATTTTCTATTATACTAAATGAAAACATGTATTAATTTCCACAAAGAAAATTTATTTTTTGCTTTAATTTTTTTTTTATAATGGTTTTCGAAAGAGAAGACGTCTGCTACTTGTGATCGAAAATCACAAAGTAGTCCTGAGTTAGTCAGTGTTTAGTTAGTTTAGCTGTAAATCGTTGAGGGATTCCCTCGACTGTCAATGGTTTCCATCTATAGGTGCGAAGTTTGCATCGTTATAAATGAATTAAGTCCATACACGAGGTAGTTACTGTGAACCATTCCCTGAGCTGCCCTTCGTTCTCATCATTAGACCCCTAATGACAGTCGCGATCAATCTTGGTGCAAAGTGCTCACCAATACGAATCATTCAAGCCCAAACACAAGGTAACTACTGCAAATAATAAAGCAGATCCCTCGACTGTCTTCCGGCTCCATCATCAGGTCGATTTCGACCATCAGCAAATTGTAGCTTTGTAAAAAGCCTACTAAAAAAACATGCAAAAGCACTAGTCGTCCCTACAATTTTCGAAAGTTCCCCTCGGTTTCCCTAGGATTCCATCATCAAATCCTGACCTCATGAAAATGGAACCCTCTCGGGAGTACAACCTTTCAAACAAAACAAGAATTTTGGAAATTGGTTCATAAATGGCGGAGTAATCGGTGAACATACAAAAAAAAACCATTAGCCGGACATAGTATACCTCCTCCTTTTTTTGAAGTCGGTTATAAAACGAGTTTTGAATTAATTAAATCTTTTATTTTTGAGTTGAAAGGATAACTCGGGTTTGTGCAAGTGGGCGTCAGACAAGTTGCCCTACTGCCTGCTTATCTGTGATGTGACACTCCCCGCGACGTTAGCGCACGGGTCGCTTTACGGCAAACGCGGGCAACTCTTGGTAGCGTTAAATACCTATTTCGCTTGGCCCACCCGCCCTTAATAATTTTATACGTTGAAATATACCCTTTTTGACTCTGGAAACAAGCCACTTGGAATCATGTACGGGCTCCTTGCTTCCATTCCATTATGGAGATACCGACTTCGGTAATCACGTACGCCGCACGCCATGTGGGCTCTGGTGTTGTCGTGCATAAATGTAAATCCTTTGCCGAAAAAAGTGTGCATAGGAAATCACCATAAGTCTCTAGGAACAGTTCCACGTATCTACCGATGACAGTTCAAAGCAGGACTTGGCCCAGACCAGACACGAAGGCAAGCTCTGTTTCACCTTCGGCGCTAATGAAGACCGTTAATAATAAATCTACTGAATGGTTGGCATTAACCAGTCTACCATTTAAGCATTTGACTGCCCACAAAAATTGTTGAAGAGACCATTGTTGAAGACGCCATGTCGGACAGCATTGTCCGACATGGCGTTCTAAGTGTTAATAAGGTAAGTAAGGTAAGGTAAATGCACTAAGTACCTAATATAAAAATCGAAAGTCCATTATCTACTTACTAACAGTCTATCCGTAGATACATTATGCATGACAGAATTATATGTAGGTACTTAGTGTTTTAAAAACAAATAACCTTAGTAAAAAAACCTTATTATAAAAAAACTAAGTAGGTAACAATTGCATAAACAAAAAGAGGTAACAATTTATTTGCATAGTATTGACGGACTGTTTTGTAAAGGGGTCAACAGTAGACAGTAGAGTCTATTCACCGCAAATTACAATCAAGAATCAAGAGGTGGGATTCATTTTACTTTTCTCCGCGTGTAGATTTCGCGCCGCCCGCAGCCCGCTGCTCGCTGTTACCATAGCGCTGCACAGCAGCGCGCGCATTGCGTTCCGTTTTTAAATTCTCGTTATTTTTTTTTTTACTAAAAATAATATTCTATGGAGTGTTTTTTTTAGTTGTGCTGTGAATGTGATAATGTGTGTAATGAAGTGCGGAATATTATTGATTTTTATTTTAATTTTTACGGAATTTGGTAAGTAGCTAGGTATTAATTAAATTTTGTAAAAATTAATTAAACAACATTGTATCAGTTTATTAAAAAAATATTTACATCAGTCTTAACGTCAGTAGTCAATCACCATTCAGAAATAAGATAGAAAGTTTTGGTATTGATCTTTATTTAGTAGATTAATAGAAATTGATATGGTTTTTGTTTATTATTACCTAGCTAATGAGCCAAAATGCCTGTATCTAATAGTAGGCACTCCCGAAAATAGTTTGTAATGATGGAAAAACATTAGAAACTATTTGCAGACTTTTTGATATTAAATTAAACGTGCAACACTCGTTCTACAAGTCATAAAAAATCAATTAGAGATGAATAATTGTCTGTAAGTGCCTATAAATGTCTTCTTGTAGCTGTATTTGTAAAGTAGGTACAGGGGACTGGTTTATAGTTTATCAACTAACCGTGACTTTGGTGACTCGCGTTAATAGGTAGATACCTACCTAATTAGAACGACGTCGTCGATTCTGTTACGGTTTCTGTTTAATAATACATAAATGCTGTTCATCGAGCTATCGTGACACATTTTTTCAATTGCGATGATATCGCTGTAAACAGGAGAGATTTTCATAATTAGTTAAGATACATACCAAAGTTGGTATGTCTCCATTGGTTTTAGTTCGCCATAGATGCTTACATTCTGATTGATGAATGTTGGTGTGAAATATGAATGCAAATAGAGTATAGGTATATGTTCAGGATTATTCCATTAACGAAATTTAAATTATAAAGCTTTAAAAATTTAATAATTTACATCTATGTGGGTACGTTTTCACCTGTTTATTGGATAAGCAGCGTGATAAGAAATAAAAATTTACGTTGATATTAAGCGTAACATACAAATATATTATAAGTAATCTATTATGTAGTATTATAGTATGTACCTATATAGGCACTAATCACTAAACACTCTCTTTACTGGCTTTAAAAAAAAACTATCTGGTATGTTTGAATAAATGTCAGGATGACATTCGCAAGTTGCTTAGGTGGCGCTGTAATCGATTAAAGGACGTCTGTCAATAAATTATCTTTAATAACAGTATCCTTACTTAAAGGTGTCTCAGTGGTAAAGTAAACAGTTACTATAACGTAACTTAGCCATAATTTAATTTACAGTTAGGTACAGTCAACTTCAACGCCTTGCAACTTTGCGACGTTATTTTATGAACCAAATCTTTGTTACAATACATGTCCCGAACTTACCACTAAATCTACACCAATCTAAGTTCATGGAAAGTTTTTTTCTGTGTCATAGAGAAGGTACACCAATTCGTGAGATGTTAGCGAGTGGGAGACGAACCTAAGATCCTTTACTTGGCAGTTTCACTTTCGATTATTTAAATAACGAGATAGTACCTACGTACAATTCATTTCAGATGATTTCATTGCATTTAGATTAACTTCTAAAATAGCTGTGTGTGATAAAAAGAGTGGGAGAACCATGCTTTGCAACGAATAGCCCGGTTCGACCGGAGTGATATCATGACCTCAAAGATATCCGACGTTAGACAACCTCAGCGTTGTGTTTCGCAGTGTAAGTGAGGTTACTGGAGGCCCAATCCTTGCCCTTCCCTTATCCCTCCAAAATCTTTACACCAGAAACGCACTTGCATATCCTCTTGTGTTGTGAGTGTCAATGGCCGGCGTTGATTGCTTACCATCAGGTTATCAAAATGCTCGATTGCCAGTGTATCACATAAAAAACATACGTGCCTTTCTAAATTTCAAATGCAAATCTCTGAAATAATAACCTAAAAGTCTAGACAGATTGAAGCGGTTCTTTTTGCTAAACAACTTACAAATTGTTATTTATTAGACATCACAGGTAACTTTCACTTGGTCTTAAACTCGAAATGAATTTGTAACAGTGAATAAAAAACGGATGCAGACATATTCATTTATTACTTAATGGGATTTTTAATTATTTTTGCATATTACATCTGTATAAAATTCACTCTACTTATATACCTAGTTGTTTTTTATTTGTAATGACCCAGTTTGGACATTAGGTATATCGCCAGGTCATTTTATTTTTAAGAATTATGGTCAAAAACGTGTTTCATTTTCGTTTTTTTTCTGGTACCTAGATGTTTCATATTTGAACATCTTGTGAATTGGAGGCTCAATCATTCCCCTACCCTAATCCGTACCCTTTCCCAAAATCTCCAAATCCCTAATCCCCAAAAGGTCGGCAACGTACTCATAACTCCTCCGTCGTTGCGGGTGTCCCTGAACGACGCTGATTGCTTACCATCAGGCAATTCGTTTGCTCGTTTGCCGACCTATCACACAATACATACAATATATATTTATATATACAATCTGTCTTCATGGGTTCCCTTCGGTGGTAACATTTGAAAACGAGTGGTTTTTTTTAGTATCGCGTGTCTATGTTTAGTTTTGTTAGTCAGTCGCCCGTCTGATACATTTAATTCCTAAATCTGTTTTCAAGCTTGATGCAGTTGTAAGGAAGCGTCTACTAAAGACTCTGAAGTGATGGTGGAGGTCATTTCTTTTTATGCAAGAAAAGGTAGATCATTGGGAGATACCTGTTTAAAGATTTTCTCTTAAGGACAGGTATCATCATCATCTTTATCATCAGCCTATAAGTGCCCACTGCTGAGCGAAGGCCTCTTCTCACACGGAGAAGGTTTGAGCATTAATCACCACGCTTGCTCAATGCTGGTTGGTGACTTCAAACTTATAATTAGAAATTATAAGTCCAAGTTTTGCTCACGATGTTTACCTTCACCGTATGTCAGTGGTGTCTAAATAACCAGGACAGGTATATGTAGGCTGTTTGTAATAATTTACCTACAAGATATAGTTACATGGGTATGAACGCGAAAATAACTACTGTAATAAGATGATAGTATATTACCTAAAATAAGAGGAGAGTAAATAAACAATAGCACCTCCTTGATACGGATCTCAAACTTATTAAAGATGAGTATCTTTCACCCGCTGCTGGACTATATTTGATCGTAGCGTGATGTTATTGATAGCTCTCAGGAAAATTGTAGCTATCTACCAGTGAAATAATTTTGGCAATCCTACAAACGATTCCGAAGATTACCCCCTACATACAAACTTACAAATTTTACCTCTTTATAATATTAGTATAATAGATGTCTGCTAGATCATTCAGCGAATCATTAAAATGAAAAGTAAAAAATATACCTACCTAATTCTGGTACTTATGTGTGATAAGCGCAACATGAACTAAACAATTCGTCTTCCGATGAATAAAATTCAATGATACTGACTGTAAAAAGCGACACTTACTGAGTTTAAAAGTTGAGTGAACGTTATTTTAATGCATGTAAAAAACTTTCGTTTTCTTATAAACCCAGTGAATGAACCATCTATGAAACTTAATAAATAAAAACGACGAGTAAAACAACAGACAACTTGAAACCTAAAGCCATTGTTAATAAAGTCATATTTTAGATAACGTTACGCAATATTTTCCGTAAAACTTGTTTTGGAGATCCCTTAACTTTAAGCTCCGGTCTGAACAGGCAGCGCAATCTGGATTCGCGTCCAATTTTCTACCATAAGTACAAACATGATAAAAAACTACGAACGAATACCGTTCCGAGTTTTTAGTGCCAGTGGCTCTAATCTAATATATCCATAATATAAAAATGAATCGCAAAATGTGTTGGTAAGCGCATAAGTCAAAAACGGCTGGACCAATTTTGTCAAATCTTTTTGTTTTGTATTTATTATTGTCAGGAGAAGGTTCTATGAAAGAAGATATTTAAAAAAGTAGAGGGGAAAAGGGACCCTTTCATTGTTAGCGAGATAGTTGGACCCGTGCAAAGCGGGGGTGGGCCGCTAGTTACTTATACAATTACATATAATGTGTGGGTTTAATTTTAAATGTTACAGGATACCTACCTAATACCGCTTTGCTTTTGCTCGTAGTGCATTCTAGAAGAGCATAAAAAAATAACAAATAAGGAAATAAAATAGTTACCTATGATTTTCGGTATTTGGCCAAATCACTATTCGTGGTAACTCTAGTTTTGATCAATGACGGATAGTAAATTCTTATATTAAATAAAGGTTGTTAAAATAAAGCTTAGCTAGGGGCGATAAATTTTATGAATTAAAACTATAAGTATAGGTACTTACCTTCAGTTACATTTGACTTGACGTATTACATCGCTGAAGTTCACATAGTCGAACTATCCAGTATCCAAAGTAAAATAGTATCTAAGTAAATAAACAAAGATGTGTCATAAAAACTAGACTTGGAAAAAGGTGTTTGAATGGTGTAATAATAATATAAGATACCATTGTGTTGTAAACAATAACTGATGTTAACATGGCCTTGAGAAAGCAAGATTTTTGCAACACAATAAAAGTAGAAGACTCTAATGCCCATGGAGTAATCACCTCTTATTTCTTTTCAATTAGGTGTATTGCGCGTGAGTGTAACAAAAGCGATAGAAAACAAACTAATGTTGACGACATTGAACAAACAAAGGATTCTCTCAGATTATAATTTCGTATTGTTGCAATTGCAATTCTTACTTCTTAACTAGATTACTTTTGATGTAACGTTAAACCTTACTTTGCATTACTTTTTACATTCTCAGATGAAAAAAAGTCATGAAAAAGATATGAAATTATCACAGTTGCCAAAAAGGCGCCAATAGACAAGTTCAGCAAATCTGTAAGGAGGATCTCTTCTACTACGATCGTTAGTCAATCATAGCCAATAATTATACGAAAATTTTCCTAAATCAAAAAGGGAGGGAAATGGTAAGCTAGAAAAAGGTATGACGCATAACAGACACGCCCTAAGGGACATTAAAATATTACAAACGAAAGGGACAGTGGAAGTTATTTTCGTATGCAGCGGTTGTTTCTTTTGATTACTATAAAGTTCAGTGGATTGGATATCTGATGATGCATAAAAAGTATGTCAACTTTCAGAGAAAACACTATAAATTGTC